CAGCTTTTTAGACCATGTAAAAAGTAGGATTTGACAAGTCAGTTTTTAGTAGTTTTTAAGAGGCAAACAGGCCTATCATGTTACATTTTAGTTTCATACTTCGTTTCTTTTCTTTTCTTTCTCCTTATTATATCTTTTATTTTCTTTATTTCTATTTCTATTCTTATCAATAAACAACTTATTTGAAAATATAATTACTCGATATTTCGTGAATTGTTGATTGTAAAATACTCGTATAAACCTTGACTTGAAACCTTTACTTGAATTAGTTATAATAATCAACTTGTAAAAGCCTTGAGATTACTGTGCCAATTAAAAAGAAATAACACTCTGACACCCTATCTAACAGTTGTAGTTCGTAAGAATTACACGTTAACAATATAAGGCCTTTGCAATAGAAAGAGGTGAAACTGCCAGAAAAATCAAAAATGAGTTAATGCTAAATTTAAACATATTTCAGCCTAAAAATCATATTTGGCATTTAAAAATAAATTAAATTTTCCCAGCAGTTTCCTTTCTTTTTATTGCAAAAGCCCTATATATTCAAAATAATTATATGATTCATATATAAATTTATAAATTTGTCTTTATGATAACTGTAACTAGATAATATGAGCTAATAGAATATTTACAATAAAACAACTATGATTACAAAAAATTCGCACTTTAATTATACTTATAAGTGATATTTTGTTACTTGATAAACTGTATTTTATATAGTTATTAATTATTATTTTATCCATTAATTTTAAAAATTCTTTAATATCAATATATTAATGATAGATTTCATATACTGTAAATAATTTTTTTTTAGAAACTTTAATAAAAGCTTTTTCAATTTTCAGTTCAATTATTTTTCTCAATAATACTTTATTTTTAACATATTATCAGATTCTAATAAAAGTTATTATTCTCTTAGGCTGTTGATTTATTGAATCTACATAATATATCCCTTCATTTATTTAAAACAAACTAACTTACCAATTTTTAAAACTCTGCATAAGCCGAGCTGGCTCGCGAAAGCTCGGCTCGAGCCACTATAAAATGGCTTGTGAGTCGATCAAGCCGGCTCATGCTATGGCTCAGCTCGTGATGCAGCTTGGCTCGTCGGCTTGGATTTTTCATTTTTGAAAAAAACAATCCAGGAATATTAACTTTGAAGAAAAACGCTTTCGGTAATGATTTCTTCGAAGTTAATAATTCTGGAAACGATTCTTCGAAGTTAAACGATTCCAGCAATGATTTCTTCAAAAAAAAATGATTCAGTAACGTTTTCTTTGAAGAATAACGCTTCTGGAGTGTTATTTTTAATTTATAACGCTTCTGGAGCGCTTCTTTTAAATAAAAACGCTTCTGGAGCATTAAATTTAAAAATATAATGCTTCTGGAGCATTTCTTTTAAATAAAAATGCTTTCAGAGCATTAATTTAAATAAAAACGCTTCCAGAGCGTTAAATTTAAAAAAATAACCCTTTCAGAGCGTCACATTTAATAAAAATGCTTTCAGAGCTTTATTTTTAAATTATAACGCTTTTGGGGCGTTTCTTTTAAATTTAACACTTCTGAAGCATTTTTTTAAATAAAAACGCTTTCAGAGCGTTAAATTTAAAAAAATAATGCTTTCAGAGCGTGACATTTAATAAAAATACTTCTGAAGCGTTAATTTTAAATTATAATACTTCCAGAGCATTTTTTTAAAAGAATAGCCTCTATGGCTTTTCCATTGAAATGAAATATTTCTGGAGGCGTTTCCTTGAAAGGAATCGTTCCCAGAGGCTTCTTAAAGAAAAAATGCTTCTGAAGCGTAATTCTTAAAGAAAAAATGCTCCTGGAGCGAAATTCTTAAAGAACAACGCTCCAGAAGCGAATTTCTTAAAGAATTTCGCTCCAGAAGTAAATTTCTTAAAGAATTTCGCTCTGGGAGCGTAATTCTTAAAGAAAAACATTCTGGAAGCATTTTCGCTTCAAGAGAATCGATTTGAAGATGTTTCTCTTGAAGGAAACTATTTCGGAGACGATTCTCTTGAAGGAAATCGCTTTCCGAAACTTTTCAATTACTCTGAAATTTTTTTCGGATTTTTGTTAATAATTTAAGCCATATGAGCTGGCTTGTTTGGCTTGCGAGCCAGCTCGGCTTACCATATTTTGGACTCGAGCCGAGCCGGCTCGTGAGCCGAAATAATTCAGCTCAGCTTGAGCCGATGGTGAGCCAGCTCATGCGAAGCTTTACCTATTTTCTTAGATTATAACTTTTGATCGAACATATGGGTGAGTGCTGGGAAAATAGACCAAATCGACATCTGACAAAAAATTTTTTAATGTTATTAAATGTAGATTTAGTTGAGGAATATTTCCTACTTAATATAGAAATACGCTAGCATAATAAAATATTGCGTCACGACCTTGTAACACTTTCATTACCCTATATCTGATTAGTTACATTTTAAATTGAGGAGATGTTGTGTTAATCAATTTTATACTAAGAATAATGAGTGCTGAGAAAATGGTCCAAATTTATAACTAATTAGATTTGATGCAATTTTGAAGGCTTTCCCTTCCCCTTTTATTTAATTGTTAAAGGTATAAAAATAAAGTTTAGGGTTGTTCTCCAGCAATTTTTTTGATTCTTTCTGCTTTAACTTGGAGTTTAGCCTCTCTAAGAGTTCTTTTAAACGAGTTGAAAATAGTTTGCAAAACTGTTTTTTTATCACCTGATGTATATTATTTATGTGTCTCAGTTTTGACAATGTTTGAGATTTGATATTTTCAATAATTAGCTTTAGATCAAAAGTTTAAGTTATATTTATTTATTTGATCTGAACATAATCTAATATAATATTTAACTTAAGTTTACAAAAAAACTATATAAAAAAACTTGTTATAAATTATCATCTTTGTTCTATCACCTATTGTGTCAAATTCGACATTAAGTTTGTTTCCACTAGTTAGATTATGACTATTTCTACCAATAGTTGCTTCACAATCGGGACACCTAATTTTTTAAATTATAAATAAATATAATTAAATAAATAAATTAATAAAAAAATACGCTATACCTGCTAGTTTGCATTGCTCCTCCACATTCACCAATGGTATACAGAATACCATTTGAACATTCGTACCAGTGTTCTAAAAATTGATGAACATTCTAGGTGTTAATTTATCTCATCCACTAAATTTGCTACTCATTATTCTGAAAAATTACGGTGTTTTTTTAAATCATACCTTTTTGTTTATTTTTTATATTTCATTCTTTTAATACTTTTTTTTTTAGATCTTTAGGTTTATTTTTCATGGTAAGTTTTTTTATTTATTTCATTTCATTTTTGCTTGGTATTTGTTCTTTACTAATATTTATTTTTTGTTAGTTTTCTTTTCTCTATTTCGTTGCCTAGATTCTGTTTCATTTTTTGACTATTTTATTCCTTTGTTTCTCTTACTTGAATTTTATTTTTTCTTTACTTGGATTATATTTTGGATTTATTTTTTCATTTAAATTTCATTTCGTTTTTTACTTTTATGGTTTTATTTTTTGCTCTTGGCTCTTGGATTCCATTTTGTTCTTTATTTTTAATTTGCTTAGATTCTGTTTCGTTTTTTACTTGAGTTATGTTTTGTTCATTTGGGTTTTATTTCATACTTCTCTTAGATTTTTCTCCTGGGTTCTGTTTTTTTTTGGATTTTATCTTATTCTTCATATTCTTTACTTAGGTTTTATTTTGTTTTTTTATATTTATATTTTGAACTTTTTGTTTTAGTTTTACATTCTTAATTTAAATTTTTTCATTCTTTGTATTTTGTTTTGTTCTTTATATTCTTTTTTTAGGTTCGGTCTTTAGTTTTATCTGTGATATTTTATTTATCTTTTTCTCTTTAAAAATCATCGTATTACTTTTGGTGGTGATTTAGTTACACTAATTTTATGTGATATGAAAAAAGAATTTTACGCTACATCTTTGGAAATATTTTGGTATTTGCGTTACATTTTAATGAAAATAATTTTTTTATTTTGGTTTTTTTTGTATTATATTTTAATGAAAATAAAAAATCAATTTGGTATTTTACATTGCAGTTTTTTATTCTGAAATACTTTTAAAAATATTTTTTTTCCAAAAATAATAGCTAGTCTTTTGTTTTATAACCTTTTGCTTAGTTTTGTTTTTTATTTTCCATTGTT